GATGCTATGAGGTCTACAGTGCAGATGAAGGAGGACTCAAAGAGGGGATAAGGAAGGATGTGGCCTTGGGATATATGCAAACTCAAGTATGGGGGTTTGAGACGTCTGGGGGAGGGGGGAGGCTCGCTCACCTTTTCCCCACTGACCTATTGCTATACCCTGCACGAATGTGGTTGCCAAACCCATCCGAATGAGCAAGTTCTGGAAGCTTTTCTTCCTTTGCCTGTTGGCATCTCCAGAAAGACTGGTTCTTACTGCTTGATCTTAGTGCAGTAAAAGCTGGGGAATAGAATCAGCAAGGTACCCATGGTGAGAGTCCAGAGACATGGGAGCAGAGACATGCTGTCCTGGAGATGAGACAGCCCTGGACATGGAATGTGGCATGGGTGGAGTTTCTCTCAGTCACCTCTGTGAGCCCACCTCTCAAGGTTCCTGGGCTGACTGGAGGGCATGCTCTCTGCTGTGTGTACAAAATGCCTCACTACTGCCAGTCTTGAACTGAATGGGTCCCTCCCAAATTCGTATGTTGACACCTGAAATTCTAATGTGGTACTTAAAAATAGGTCCTTTGGGGAATAAATTGACCTAGATGGGGTTGTGAAGGTGGGACTGTCAGGATGGGATTAATGTCCTTCCATTAGAAGGAAGAGAAGAGATAATTATAATAAAGAGAAGCCTTGTTCTCCCTGCTGTGTAAGGAGGAACCCACAGGCCAAAACTTAAGAGCCTTCACTAGGAGCTAACTCTGCTGAAATCTCGGTCTTGGACTTGATTCCCCAGACTCCCAGATTATGAGGAACAAACATCTTTTGTTTAAGCCTTCTGCTCTCCACTACCTTCTAGGAGCCCAGACAGACTCAGACAGCACAGTTGCTCTCTGTCCCTATGCAGCCCCTCAAGGCTCCTGCAGTTCGCCCCAATAAGATGCTTCAGGTGCTTTAGATAGGAAACCACCCCAGCACGCAGGAGGCTGAGGCAGGATTGTTGTGAATTTGAGACCAGTCTGGACTACATTGTGAACTCAAGGCCAGCTGACCTGCGTAGCAAGATACTGTTTCAAAAAGACCAATCAAACAAAAAATTTTTAAAAAGAAAGCCACAGCTATTACCATCGCCACTGTCACCGGGCCCCCACCCAGGCCACAGCACTTGCAGGCACTGTTTAGACTTTAAACCTCTGTCTGCTCTGCTGACTGTGCTAATCCTCCTCACTCAGTTTCTCTGTCTCAAAAGCAGTTTGATCTGACCCAGGCACTGAGAAAGCAGAACAAGCAAGAAAGGAATGGTCTAGAAAACTCTGAGTTGACCAACCTATTCTTCTGCAAATGTACTTATTTTAAACCTAGGTTCATTTCACAAGGATACAACTTAGTACCACTGCGGAAGGAAACACTGTAGAGAGTAATTGTCACCTTGACTTCCCTGCGCATCCCTTGCATGTGTTTCCCACAGTCCCTCCCACCCTGTAATCACTGAAGCAATGAGGCACTGTTAAATGTGTATAAAGTGACTTGTGATCAGAATCAAACCTTTTGTTGGGATCTGGAGCATAAGGGCCCAGGAAGCTTTGTCCAAATGTAAGGACACTGACAGGTTTCAAGGCTGCAAAGGACCCAAAGGTGATGAGACCTGACCACCCTGCTTTTCCCACACATGGTAACTTGGGAGTGAGGAGCGGTGTGGTGTGTGACATGCCACCAACAGGTCAGGCCACCCTGAGGCACGCTGCAGATGGAGAACAAGGAAGAACATTAAATATTTGAACTCTGGGCAATTTTTAATCTTCAGCTGTGAAGGGACAGGAGAGTAAACATTTCTCTACAGGTGTACCTTCCCAGGGGCTCCCAAGAATGCCACACAGTCACGCCTAATGCTTCTGAAATAGAAAGTCACACCTGCATCTGCAGAGAGGCTATAGTTTTTTTTTCTGTTGCACAAACTTTACAGTGACACAATAACTTATTTGTGAAGAAGTTCATCACTGTTTGTATTGCACTGTGATTTCTACCAAGGTCAGAGCCCAGAGAGAAACCTGGCTCTGACTACATTCCTCAGCCCCACCGTGGAGGGCAGTGTGCACCGCCCAAACAGAAAACCACAAGGTTGCTTTGTTCAATGGAAAATTACTCACTGAAGGTCTGGCCCAGTGGGTAGATAATGTTTGTTCTTAGAAACAGCCTCAGCTAAGGGTGCAGAGTGCATGGGTATCTTGACACTGTTGTCCTGGCAGCAGGAGATGAGCTGCCCCATCCCTGTCCCTCACACGCTTGCACTCCAGCTTATGCACACAGAAAAGTGGTGCTTTGCAAAGGCCTTTGCTGGCTGCTGTGCGTTAAGCTCTGCTTCACGGTGGTACTGGTGCTCACAACTCCAGTGTAAAAATAGGCAGAACAAATCAAACAGTTCTGTCTCCAGATAGTCTTTACACACTCCGGCTTTCTTCTGGGCCAATGACCCCTGCTAAGCAAGGATTGGACATTTCACATCTAAATTGTGTTTGCTACTATTCTCTCCAAAAGAAAGTGCAAGAAATGTATTAGCTAAATGCGTGGGAAAGACTGGCAAATGCAAAAACTAGCACATTATAAAGATGTATAGATTGATACATAAATTATGCATAATTAATATTCCATTCTGACCCTAAAAGAAATACACCTGATTCCATGGATTTGATTTTTTCAGTCTATGGATTTTAAGAAGTCTTTTATTTGACTAAAGTCTTGTGGGTGGGGAGAAATGCTGTGTAGAAATTGTGAAGATAGAAAGGAATATCCAACACCAAATTCTAAGATCAAATGAAGTTAGCACAAAAATAAATCACACTTATGAATATCGATATAAACATTCTAAATAACACAGTGCCATAATTGAAGAGTGGTAAGCTATGATCCAGTGGAGTCATTCCAAGTATGTCAAGATGGTTTAATACCAGTAATTTGTTAGCATAATTCATGGTATTGTGTTAGCAAAGAATTGTAATATATTTGATAAAATTCAATATACATTTGTGTCATAAACCCTTAAGGAAAAAAAAGAATAGATACCATCTCCATCTTTTTTTTTTTCTGGTGCGGGGACTCAAACCCAGAATTTCTCATACGCTAGGCAAAGGCTGTCTGTCTGAGCTACATCCTCAGCACCAATAGATGCAATCTTATGCTTATAAATACAGATACTCCTTCCACCAAGCCAGAAATCAGCATTGTCCTTAATAGTGAAACACTGAAACGATTCCTTAGAAGGCTGTCGAGTGAGGAGCAAGACGAGGGTGTGTATCATCTTCCTGTTACTGTTAGAATGTGCTCATTGAAGAAAATCAGGGGAAAAAAGACATTTGAAAAATAGAAAAATCAGGGAAAATGAATACTATTTGCAAAAGTTGTGGGTGTCCACATGAAATATTAAATAGCAACTGAAAACTCATCAGCAGCAATATGAAAACTAGCAGAAAACTCCAAACCTCATATAGGTTCGTAAATTTATATTATGAACTATAAAGACAAAAGATCTCACTAATAGCAATAAAAAAAGGAAATACACAGAATACATATACTAAAATTCCTAACTTTTAAAGAACATTTTAAAAAGACTTCAGAAAGAGAAATGTATGTCTTAGTCTTATGGTGTAAAAGTCAAACATCTAAAGATTTCAGTTTTTCTAAATCAATCTATAAATTTGATGCAATTGATTTGATTCAAAATGCCACCATAATGTTTTCAGAATTTGACAAACTCATCTTCATGGTAAGATAAAGTCAGGATGCAGGAAAACCCAGGAGGGACCTGGAAAACCAGAGGAGAGGAGTGGGGAGGAAGCGGCCTGAGCAGACCCCGGAAACCCGCCTGGGGCAGAGCAGTTTGCTGGGGGCAGATGGAGGCAACGGCATCCGGACACACGCGTGCAAGGCCAGCAGGGGCTGAGAGCCACTGTGGACGGTGTCTTTGGCAAAGCCTTGGGGCTGACGTGGGCTTCAGTCCTGCAGAGACCCGATGTGCTCTGGCGAGACTCGCCCCTCCATCAGCCCCATGCCGACTGCCCAAGTTTGGGCTTATCTCTCCCTGCCTGCTTGTGGAACCCAGACTTGGTCCCCTCAGGGACTTTCCTGATAGGAAACTCACCCTGGTGTTGACTCTAGACTAAGAAATCTGAAGGAAAGGAAATAGCAATGATGCATTTGTGGGGACAGTGATTTTGATACTTCATCTTCCTTAGCTACTCAAAGATTATTTATTAATGAGATTTATCTTTAGGTTACTCTTGGGCTTACAGGAGCATTGAGCAGAAAATGCAAAGGGTCCATACATCCCATCTCCCCACCCTGTGCCTCAACCCCACAAATCCCTGTTAGTGACATGGCGCCTTAGTGTCACACATCTGTCACAACTGATAGACCAGAACTGGTGCACTAGCATTAACTAGTACAGTCTGCGTGAGGGTTTCCCTGGTGTTGAATAGTCTGTGAGGTTTAACACGCGCAGAATGTCACATCTCCACCATGACAGTGTCACCCCCACAGCTCCAAGGTGACTTTTCAACATTAAAACTAGACACGAGGGGAAGACAGATCCCTTGACACTGAGATGGTTGGGAATGCTTCTTTTTCCCCTTTAAACTGTGTCTTTGTTGACCCCGAGTCATTTACCTTTTGGAAATAAGTGTAGTCCTCTTTGCTAGCTCTTTATTCACCTAACTAGTTTCTTGGAAATAACACTGCCAAAGTGAGCAAGTTATTACAGATGGTGACCTTAAAATGTACATTTATCTATACTTAAAAAAAAACAGTGAATATATTTATTTATAAACCTTGCATCTCTTTTTAATAACATGGAACGTACAGCAAACGTAAATTGGTCTGAAACATACTGAATAGGGTGACTTTGTGAGCCATCATTTCCTAAAATTCATAGTTAGCATTCATCTCCTCATGCCATTATTAGTGTCTCATCTAAAAATGTGATAGTTACTGTTATTCTTTTTGAAATTAGGCAATAAAAGAGTCTTACAGGAAAAAGAAGACTTTTATTAGAGACTGGTCAGATGCAAAGTTACATAATTCACACAGTACTTTTCTTTGTTGGAACTTGTCTTCTTTCCATGCTCTTTGCTGTTAACAGAGAGAAAGGAGAGAGGTGAGACACCACTGTAGTACCTACATTCCCACAGAGACTCTTGGGACCCAGGATTCTTCGGGGTGTATTGAAGATGGCACCGGAGACCAACACAAGTATACAAAGCAAAAAGATCCATGAATGGATGAAAGAATGAGAGGCACAGGAAGAAGAGGTAACCAAGTCAGGAGGACACAGACATAGGAAGGAAGGAAGCTGAAGTCTCACAAAGTGAAGGGCCAAACAGACCACCAAGGAAAGGCTCCCAGTTTAGTGGTGGGAGGCTGCTCCTGTGGTGTGAGGGTGAGAGGGAGAGAGGAACCTGCTAAGTTAGTACAGGTGAAGGCCAGGCTCTGGGCGAGGTACTGGAGATAGGAGCCTCCTTTCATCTACCCACTCACCAGCTCATCAGTTCATCCTTCAGTAACCAAGAGAGCTGTGAATATTTATTGGGGATTACAAAGACTAAAAACAATATGATTCTGAATTCAAGAAAACACACACACACACACACAGTGGAACATACACAGTGGAGAAGATAGAAGCGGTCAGAGTACACTGCAGTAAATGCAGTTACAGTGACTCTTCTGCACAGGAAACTCCAGGGAAAGGGACCCCGGAAGACTTGTTGAGCTGTACTCGGTGGGCTGGGCAAGGGGCTGCTTGCTGGCAGCAGGGGCTAGGGAGTAGAGAGAGACCAAGAGCACTGGCAGAAATAGTCAGCTCTGTGAGACCCCTGACATGACTACAGAAGCAGACAGAAGCAGGACACAGAGCTGGAGCACATGTGAGACCCCCTCATGGGACAGTGGGGTGGTTGCCCCGGTGCCTCACTGCTTGGGAGCTGAGACTCCATATTTCAGGGGAACAGGACCCTTGAGCAGGTGAGGACTTGTGTTAAGAAACTAGTGCCAGAGCCTTTGGGGAGAACAAGATGCAACTGACAGAAAGATAAGAGCTATCTTCAAGCTAGAGATGAAGAGACCAGAACTGGAGCAGACAGCGGAGAAAGAAGGCAGTGCATCTCCTCCGAAGGATCAGCAGGACGTGGTGACCACTGCATGGAAAAGGGAAAGGCTGCAGATGAATCTGTCTCAGGCCTGGGGAACCAAGATGAGCTGGATATAGGAGGAAGGGCAGGTCCAGGCAGAAACTCCATCTTGAGCTTGGCCTAGAACATTCTGATGGAGGTGTCAGCAAGTTGCTGTTTACCCAAGGCTGGAGTCCAGGGCAGCCAGATGGGAGAATTCCCAGGTGAGTGAGCATCGCAGCCCTGAGGATGCCTGGGGTTACCTAGGAGACAGAGGGCGTGGAGTAAAGGAAGAACCAGCCAAGTCCAGACCCCAGGAACACCATTCCATGAGGAATGCGAACAAGAGACATCCATGAAGAGTAGGGAGAAGTCTTGGCCCTGAGCCTTAAAACCTCAGTGGCAGAGGATTTCAGAAAAGGAGTGGTCCTGGCATCCAAAATGCCCACAGAAAGAATGGGGTGACCATGGGGACTGGAAGTCAGCCACGGTGTGTTTACCAAGCGAACTCCTGCCAGTGCATGAAGAGAGAGTGGGTGAGGTCTGGGGGACAGCACTACAGAGAGTTCTCTTTAAAATCTAGGCTGAGACAGGAAGGAGAGACATCAAAGAGAAGTGAGCGGCAACCCAGGTGATGGCTACCCATTGTACAGTCAACCCCACCTACTCCAAGCTTCTGGACTCGGGAATTCACCTACTCACTAGTACTTATTTTTATGCCCCAAAGCAGTGTCCTGGTGCCTTCTCTCTCCTTCTGGAGCATGTAGAAAGATAAGAAATATCCACATCCAAGGCCAAAGAAGGCCTCTTTGTTTCAGGGTTTGTCCTGTAAACAACAGTCCTTTTCAAGGTCTATCTAGAGTGACTTCTTACCCTGCATACAGCGCCCTCTAGTGCTCCTAGAGGGCTGTGATGTGCATTAGGGCGAAAACCAGGTATTAGATGAGCTCCTTGCAGGTGTGAGTTCTAACCCTGCTGGCCATGAATTGAAGTCCATGCATCAACAAAGCACACTAAATAAGGCATCTGTGCAGTACACATGGAAAAGAAAGTCATACATCGAACCCCTGAGGAAAATGTCAGGACCAGAGGTCAAAGGCGCCCAAAGTAATATTTTCTGAAGGAGCAAGGTTTCAGGAGTCACCAATCCAGTGTTTGCAGCATTTACAGATGAGAATCATGCGACTTGACTGCTCTTGTTAGTGCGTGAACATCACAATGAGGGTCACTAGACAGAGCTGCCCATGGCCAGTTTTCTGCCTCTGGATCCTTGGGTGGGTCTTCTCCTTCCTCCTGAGCACAGGCTCCCTCTAGCAAGTGGGACATCATGGAGAGCCTGACAGGAAGTTTGCACTAGTGAGTCCAGTGTCTGAGTCACTGAAATTGTTCTGCAAGCTCACCGAGGTGGTCACAGCCCACCCAAGCTCATGTGGCTTCTAGAAGGGTGTGCCATGCTAGGTCGAGGTGGGTAGGTATGTTGCCAAGTCTCCCACAGTCCTTCGTTCCATTAGTTTTGCTAATTTTGCCATGCAAGGGATTGAACCAGAGCCTCCTGCATGCTAGGCAAACCTCTACCACTAAACCACACCCCCGGACCCCACATTGAGTGCATGTAACACATGACAGACGCATCACAAACAAATAGTGCTCGAGGTCTGGGCCTCTCATGCCGTCATCTGAACATGGAGATATGAGTATTATAAGAAAACAAACAAAGCCTTGGAAGCAGGTGATAGGAAGAAGTCTGAATCTGGACACTAAGGGAGAGCCCTGCAGTGGGTTCCAGGATCCTGCCTGGGTCACAGCATAGAGCAAGAAAGAGCATGAGACAAGAGTAGAGGGGCCTCGCAGTGATCTGGGATGACCAGCTTATCTCCAAGAATGAAGGGCCATGAGGCACCTAAACGCTTGGTATTTATTCATTACATCTGAGTCAACAATGGGTAAAGGGCAGTGGGTGTTTCCAGAACTGTAATCATGACTACGGTGGCTGGGAAGACCAAAACATTCTTGCAAGGCCAAGAACAAGGAGGAGAGTTCCCCAGGTGCCTTATCCTCTTTATCAGGTCTTATCTCCAGCGACACAAGAAAATAAAAATTTTTTTTAAAAAAGAATTCTATGCAAATCCACACTGCAAGGCCAAGGAAGATGCATCAGTTATGGTTCATGTGCTAAGTATCTTCCAGCCACTCATAACTGGTCTTTCTAGCTACAAAGATCAAGAAAGTAGCCGACTCTCAAATATATTCTTTTCAACATGAGAGTTGGGCCCTGGTTTGTTGTGTTTCCTATTTTAAGTTTAGATAAGAAAAGACTTTAGACATCTTTGGTTGAATACTGCATTTCACTATCCACTCATATATGAAATCATTTTCTAGCAGCCTGAAAGAGTTCTAGGATAATGTTTATGAAATTATAAAAACACTCTGTGCCTAGTTTATTACAAGGACAGGGTCAGGCTCTGGGGATTCCAAGACAAATGAACCAAAATCCGAGCCATCAAAGAGCAACCCATAAGGAAAATGTCACTCATAGTTTGAAAATAGTAATCTTGCTTTTGGTTGAACCTCCCTGCCTCCCTTTCTCCCTGCCTCTCTTTCTTTCTTCCTTTCTCCCATCTTGATTGATTCTAATAAGATGTTATTAGCATTATGAAATGGATGAAGAAATTGTTCTTACATATATGCACATCATTAATACTTTTACTTGTTCTTAAACTAAAATCATTGGAATAACAAGGAAATTCATCCTCAATAAACAGAACGTGGTGGGAAGGCTCCGGCGGCATGGAGCCCTTCTAGGTTAAAGGGCTGAGATGACCACTATAGGAAGTCCAGCAGACTCAGAGCCAGTCCTGCTGGTCACAGGCGTCATCCCTGGAGCCCCTGTGCCAGCTTTGGCAGCTTCATCCCATGGCTCTGGAAAACACAGAGCAGACACTTCCTTCGCTAAAGGTCACACGAGGAACTCAAAGTCCGTGACCAGGCCAGAGCCGTCACACATCTTCACTCTGTGTTGCTTTTAAAGACGTGTTGTAGGTGACTGATTTCTTTGTGCGCATCAGACAGCGAGTTCCTACTGTGACACACTGGTGTATATATATCTAATGAGAGCATACAAGGAATACACAAAACACAGCCAACACCCACTGAGAATGCTAATCTCCCTCCAGCCCCATTTGCTCTAAAGAGAAAAAAAATATAAAAAAGAAATACAATGAGTCTGCTTCTTCATAATGAGGATCTAGGCCAGGCGCTAGCAGGAGGAGCTGTGAATATTTCAACACTGCTGGACCTAGGGCAAGGTGAGTTGGGAGAGATGAGTCTGGGTGTCACCGGCAACTGAGTTAGAAATATCCCAGGCAGTCAGACAGGGCTGGGCTCCCAAAGGAGCCAGTGCAAAAAGATGAGACACCTTATAACTTCGGGAGAGACAGACACCGCCACTGTGGGCCAGGCCTCAAGACAAAAGATAAATCAATGGCACCCACATACTTCCTAAGGATAAGCATCAGGGATTGATACTCTAAATAGGTCTCTGTCAGCCTGAGGAAGCTAGGAATCTCCTACAGGAAGAGTCCCTGCTCTTTAAGCATGCCTGCTTGCTATGTGACTTGCATCCCCATTTGTCACCAATTTAATCAACTTTACCAGAGCAACTAACCTTACTGGATTACCATAGTTCTGTCCCACCTCATGCCCACCTTGCGAGTTCCCAGATTCTCCCCACCTTAGACCTGCCTCACTTTGTGATTTTACTGTAAAAAAAGTCCCTAGAAATAACAGAGTCTTATCCACTCAGGACCACTTCGGTCTCTCTCTCAGACAGAAGCTTTCCTCTCAATAAATATATTCTGTTCTTTATCTCTATTGTTCTTAAAACTCATTCTTTGATTTTATAGAACACAAACTCATACCAGATATCTAGTAGACTGGGAGTTTTGTTCCCCTATGTCAGGGGGATGTGGGTACTGCTGGATCACAAAGGCCACCAGGAGCCACACTGAAGCATGTGGACTCTATCCTGAAGGGATACCATGTTTCACAAACAGTGATGTGTGTGGATGCTCCATTAACAACTCCTCTGTGTGCGTGCAAACACATGCACAGAACAATATCTATAACTACATCTTAAATTCCTTTTAGATGCGCCCTTTATGATGTCCCCACAGACTTGGGAATCCTCAGAAAGCTTCCTCTGCTCCAATCTCTGGGACCAACTGGGAATCTATACACCAGTGAGGCTGTGTGACCCTGAGGGTGAGTGTGACAAACAGAGGCTTAGCTCCAGCTCGCTGAAGCAAGGGGGCAAATGTGGAGGGTGCTCTTCTGCTCAGCTCAGTATCTGGCTTTTCACAGCTCTGCTTTCCTCCACAGGAAAGCTAGTACAGGGATCGGGGTGGACAAGGGTCTGAATCTCTTCTGTGTTTAAGATAAACCTGAGAACAGCATGCCAGGTAGGGTCAGGACTGAGGCAGGGATGCAGCCAATGATAGAGAAAACACATGGGTGGGATCAACTGCACTGGACCACTGGGGATGCCAGGAAGAGACCAAGGTTAAGGAAGAATCAGTGCTGCCCCCATGGTTTTTAGGTTGAGCAAATTGGGTGGATGATGATGTTACCAATCAAGAAAGGGAGTTTGGTGAGAAAATGGCTGCTTTTCAGGGGCAATGGGCAGCTGACCTGAGGGCTTGGAGCTTAGGATACAGAAAGAGACACACATTAGAAAATAATTATGTATCAGTGAAGAATCAAGTCAGACAAGAGTAGGAGATGACAGTCATCTACAGAAGAGAGAAAATTGGGCTAAAGACATAAGACAGGGGGTCACTGGTATTTAAATGATGGATCTGGAAGTCAGGTCAGAATTCAGAAATTTCAAGCAATCAAAACCAGCTTGCAAATAGCAGACAAGCAAACGGAAGGTGGAGAGGCTGAGGTGGCAGCTGCCGGACCACCGTGTGTGTGGGAGGTCAGCTGGGAAGGATTCAGCAAACGTGGGTGCTGGGATGAGCAGGGCAGGGTCAAAGGAAGGGGCTGCTCTTGGCCCTTTGTTCACTGTTAGAGTGGAGTCAGCTGATGGCATCAGTGGTGACAGACACAAGTTGAGGGCTCAGAAGGCTGACAGGAGACTGATAAGAGGGTCCCAGCAGAGCAGCTAGAGGAGACAAGGACCTGGAAGAAGGATGAGCACACATTACAGGGGCTTTATGGCTGTGTCAAGTATCTATCCCCTTACCTCCAGTGTCACTCAAAGCCACCGTTTATCCTTGCTCTGTGCCGGTAGTTGGGGACTCTTCTGTTTGTAGGAGGAAAATCCCTTCTCATGGGCTCTGAAATGGGAGCAGAGACCCTGTCAGTCACAGTGAGCCAGGACCCCCAGGGACCAGGAGGCTGTAAGTCACTGAGAAGCATTCGGCCAGGATGACCTAGGCCCACACTGCCAAGGGTCATGGGTGGCACCGCCCCTTGTCTTCCCGTGGTGCTCTCCTACCCTGGCTGTGTCATGGAGGGGATGCAGTTGATTTTTCCCACTCTGCACCGCCACCTGGGCTCTGTCTCCACCACTGCTACAAGCCCTCAAGGGCAGGGGCTGTCACATTTCTTTTCCATCCTCCTGGGATCTGCTCAGAGCCTGTCACACACATTTGCTGAACTGAATTAAATGGGTGCATTTCAGGCCATCTCTGAGACAGCTGCACATCTACATCAGCAACACTCTTGAGGCTCAACCTGGGGTCAGAATGTGGCCTGGTGTTATGGATTAAAAACTGGTGGTCAACTTAACACCAGCAGAATTAAATCACCATGATGCTGAGTGTAGATGTTCCACCTGAGGAAAGCTGCCAGCATAGAGATGTGGAGAGGAAAAGTGTGGCATTGAGGCATTGTGGGCTTTCCTACATGTTGCTGTTTGAGCCGTTGGTTCTCCTGGAGAAGCTCTGGTCCTCACATCAAGCATTGCTTCCTGGCTCCGGAGGGGAAGACATGTGCCACTTGGTCTCCAGGATGAACTCATCAAGCTGGCTTCCTGGCATGTACCCGACTGTGCTTATCATTGAAAGAGCACGGGGCCTCCATATCACTGAGGATGGCGGTGGTGCTTTTCAGGACAGCTCTGGTCTTTGTTGTGAGGGTGGCTTCTCAGCTCCAGCATAGAACCCTCAACCTACCAGCACAGCTCGCTCACCTTGCTGTCATAGACTTTCTGGCTTCCACCGCTAATGTATGGGCCTTCCCAGCACAGATCCATAGAAGAGACTGGTGTGAGTCCTTGTGGGCTCTAGACCTCCAGTTGGACTTGTGGGGGGCATTGTCATGAGCTCTGGGTCTTCATCCAGACTCATGTGGGACACTGCTGTGGGTTTCAGGCCCTTGGCTGAATATTCTATGTCTTTAGTGTTGTGGACAAATTTTCTGCATTTTCCTGTGTTAACTCTGAATGACCATCATAAAACAATATTATAAACTCCATGTCCTCATTCTAATTGTTCTCTGCACAACTCCTGACTACAACACTTGGTGACATCTTTTGAGGTCACATGCATTTACATCCGCACAGTACTTTTCATCTCTAACTGCAGCCTCCAGGGTGGCCTCCTGGGCTCACCCTCTTGGGCGGTGCCCTCCCAGGGGCCAGGCTTGGTCTGCTGAGTTACAATAGCACAGCTCCTCCGTGATTAAGAGGCATCACTGGGAAATTCAGTTGTCATACCATTAAATTGTCCCTGGGCTCCTGTTCCCCATTGAATAAACGGGGAAATAAATGATTCTTGCTTTAAGCTGTAAAATCTTGGACTATGTTGATACCCAGCAGTAGATAGCTAATTCGCCCACGTTGGTCATGCAACCAAATTATCAAATTTATTACCACACTATTTCCACAAGCAAACCCAAGGGGAAATCTGAGTGCCGGTTACAGAGATTCAAGACTGGGTCACAGCTTCTGAAGACAGCACCAGGAGAAGCGTTCCAAAGAACATTTTCAGGGGAGGAGGCACTGACAGTAGCTTTTTTTATCAAGTGACAACTTGAACGAGTTATAAACCAGAGGCATTTCTTAAAACAAAGTTTCAGGTTTAAACCCAACATTGTGACACAGACAACAGCAATCAGCGTCCCCTGCAGTACGATGTATCCCTGCGTCCACTGTAAAGGTGGACGTGGAACACAGAGGATTTCACAAGGCACCTGGAGGGCTCCATGGAAAACTCAGGACTGCAGAGTCACAGATCTGTCCAAAGTCCCTTCTCTGCCACTGAGTGTCGGGATCAAAGTCCCACAAGGGCAGTGTAGCCCTGAGCAACATACAGAAGCTCATGAAGCCTGTTTGCTACCCAGAAGGTGGGGAGGAACACAGTGCTGGCTGGAAGCAGTGGGGACGGGCATCTGACGGTGCCAATCCAGGCCCCCAGCTGGGGAGCAGCTGGGTTACAGAGCCAATCCTAGAGGCTGAATGAGAAAACTGATCTCCCAGGGGCTGGAGGAAGCCCTGCCCCTTCACTGAGAGGTTTGGCTACACCTGGCCATGAAACTCCATCAATACACACCATTCTGAAAATGCTCTAGGCGGAGTTGCTGTTTCCTGAGCTGGATTTGTCTGGTTTGGTTCTGTTCTGCTCTGTTTTGTTTTCTTTTATAACAGGGTCTTACTTATAGGCTGCAGTCCTTACTTGGGATTCTCCTGCCTCAGCCTCACAGTGGACTTGATATTTTGTTTGGTGGCTGGTAATTGCTAAATGAGTTAGTAACTCAAAGTTACCTTTACAATGACTTGTCAAGCAACTTTATACTTTACTATTCTTTTGTATTTTCACTTAAAATATCATGCTGCAGCATGGACTGGGCTCATCAGAAAAGGGTCTTCATACCAAAGGAAATAACCACTTACCAGGTGACCGATCATAAAACCGCTGGCTTCTGGGTTCCTCAGGAATGAGACCTATAATGCAGTAACCATCATAAGAAAAAACACCTCCACCGACTTCCAGAATGTTCTGAGATTGTGTAATTGAAGCCATAAATACGTTGCCTCCCCTCCTCCTCTTCCTCCTGCTCCTCCTCCTCTTCCTTCTTTTTGACTATCTCTGGAATTCTCTAGTAAGGTTTTCACAAAATACAAAGCTCAAACATGATTATCTACATCCACCACACAAAGAAGAATCAAATATGTGGTAGACACACAAAAATGCATGTCATTTTTAAAAATAGAAATAACAATAATGCTTACAGTTTTGTAGTCTTTTTCTCAGTGTGTTGTGTGTTTAAGGCTCTGTGTTTATGGCACTTGTATCCTGTGGTCAGTATACACAGCAAGAAAGAGCCTGTGGGTCCAGCCCTGAACGTGACACACAACTCAAGGAACATGCTTTGGAAGCCAAAAAGCAGGAGACTACAAGGGCTTTGCTACCACCAGCACCAATGGGAAACTCCTCTGGGATCTAAGGATGGCTCCAAAATCATAGGACACTAACACAATTATGCTTGCAAAGTGAAAGCCATACAAGAAGGACAAAAGGACATTCCTTCCTCTCCCTGCCATGGCTCTCAGATGCAAAGAGGCAGCCAGCTCTGATCACAGGCCAGGGAGGTCCCAGAGTCCAGCCCAGCCAGGCAGATGAGGCTGAGTCCTGATCCTCCTCCCGCCCACTACCGCACCCCTGGGCCTCAAAACCTAGGGCATGAACCAGGCAGGAACAAGTGCTCAACTCGAGAACACACTTAGGCAGAAGTCAACCCCAGCCCTGGCTATTTGTACAGATGTTGGAGCCATCAAATGGACTCATGTATGGAAAAGCTCAGCAAAAATATGAAGAAATATCTGAATAAATAGTTACACTGATATTACTTAGTTAAACAACAAAAGCAAAGCTAAAGGATTTTCATAATTACCACAATAGTTCAAATGTAGTTTTCACTTTTCCAGAAATTTCTGCCTTTAACTGATTCAGGAACAAAGAGCTGTGATATGAAATTGCTTCAAGGGGGAATAAACATTAACAAGAATGAATCTCAACTTACCAAGTAGATAATCGTTTCTCCAGTTATAGGATCTTCCCATGTCCCCAAAAATCATCTAAAGAAATTTAGGCATCAATAGATATCAGCACATGAAACAGAAGAAAAGAAACATACTGTAAAAAACTGTAAATATTATCTAGAGAACTTTGAGATATATAACACATTTTAATGAAATAAAGGTATATGAAGTGTGATCAGAACATATAGTGAATGTTTATATTTATAGAATTATTACAGTGAAATGCACATTACTAGGAGTCTCCATCAGAATATTGCCCCTCGCTTTGAACAGACAGTTCCCACCATTCTTTCCACTTTCTGAAGCAGTTCTGAACGCCTCTTTTCTGTGTGTCTAGTTTCACTGTCACACGTGCCTCAGTGTAGTGACTTGGTCAGAGCTTTTGCCTTTCATGGTCAGTTATGGCTTTGGGGAAGATCCAGAAGTCACAGGAGCCTCGGATCTGAATGAAGATCCTCTATAGCTTTGTTTGGCAGCAGTTGCCGTAAATATTTTGAATCAATTCAGGACATTGGGCAACCATGAAAAGACACTCACAAAAAAGAATTTCTAGAACTGATTCAGAAAATGACCCAAATGATGTGATAAATGTATTTGAAGTGACAGGGACTATTTTGAGAAAAATTAACAGTGATGTGTCACTTACTGTCATACATTTTAAAAAATGTTATGTACTCATTATGTTTTGTGATTGCACCTCAAGTCCCTTCAGATGCCATCAGGTACATATGTTCAAGAGAACACATGGGGAAGACCAACTCATGTAAGGGTCAGACAGACTCCAAAGTGACACAGAGCACACTTCCAATGCTATGGACCAGAAACAGAAACTTGGTTTATAAGCCTGCAAAAACTGAGTCCGGGTGGAACTTTAGAACTTTCCATGAACTCTTGATAGTATCGTCAGTGGAGCGAAGTGTCCACACCCAGCTTTCATGAGGCCACTGGCAGTGGACACAACAGACCCAGAGCCTGCTTGGCTTCCGGACTTTCCGCCTCTACCCATCTCCTGGTGCAGGGGTCACGGTGACTCCTCTGACCCCCAGGTGACAACCAGCCCAGGAGAGGGCCCACAGCAAGACAACTCGAGGGTGAGAGAGCAGTCTTCTCAACAAATAATGTCGCTGCGACTGAAGACCTCATGAAAAGGAGAGGCACCGGGCCCTTGCCTCTGGTTAGTGAAATGAAATGGATGGTAAACATAAGACTCACACAAAACATCAAAGGGGGAAATTGACTTAACAAAGGGCACCATCAAAGAAAAAGGCACACCAAGTGGGAGGAAGCATTTGCAAATAACTCAGTAATAAGAAGTAACTCAATTAAACATAAGGAAAGGAATTGAGTAGAATTTCTTTGAAGAAGATGCACATTTTCTTCATTTAATGACCTACCTATTTAACAGCAGTTCAGACTTACAACTTTTTTTTGCATAATTGTGCACATTTTGTTTTAGAGCCAGGTCTTTTCTTGGTGCAACACACCTAGTTCACGCAGCAGTGCAGTTTGTGCTGACTAAACCGTACACTGCAGTCCTGTAGTTTTGTCTTTTATATATTACAGTACCACATGTAAGAGTTATGCAAGTAAAAGCAAAGTCATCCGGCTGGCGTTTTCTTTGGCCATTTCTTTGTCCTGAGTCACATAGAATAGATATTATGTACAATTCCTCATTTAGTGACCAATTCATTTAGCTGCCCAGCTACAAGAACAGAACTCAGGAGGTAAATGAGGAATGTTGGTTTAAGAGTGGACATTCATTAGTTATTAAGAAGATACAAATTAAATCAACTCACACCCACTAGAATGGCTGAAGAAAAGGTACAACGACAGATGTGGCAAGAATGTGTTGAATCTGAAGATATCACACATTACCACTTTGGAAAACTTTAACAGCTCCTCAACAAATAAGACTGACTACACCCAACAGTTCTGCTCAGTGTGAGATTAAAAACCTACCCACCTATGACATGCATGTTCCCGACATCATCACTCACAATAGCCAGAGGGCGGGAAAACCCAAATGCTGATCAGTTACTGAATGAATAGGTCACATGTGGGATGTCCAGGCAATGGGAAAACTGTTTAACAGCAAAAACAAATGAAGCTATTTTCATTTCTTTTTGCATGCTACCTGTAAATATGCTCATGCATTCTATGATGTGTATACACACACCCTCTCAAACGTTTTCCTAACTGAAATAAAGCTACAACAAAAGGACACATATTGTGGGATTTATTCATATGCAATGGCCAGAATTTTACTCATATGAAGTTAACACAGAAAGCAGATCACTGGTCACCAAGATTTGGGGGGAAATGAAGAATAGAGAATGATTCATTTTAGGAATCTCTTTTCAGGACGATGAAAGCTTTCTGAATGTAGGTAGTGGTGGCAGTTTTCTTTGTGAAGATACTAGAAACCTCGAAGGTGTACTCACTGAAAAAGATGACTTGTATGGTACAGAATTATGTCTTGATAAAGATGTTATTTTAAAATGAAAGGCATCAAAGCAGGGGCTTTGGGTGTAGCTCAGTGGCCGAGTACATGCATAATATGTGTCAGACTCAGGCCCCTCATACCCAAAATCACATGGTATGTGCTAAATACACACAACTAAAAATCAGTAAATAATCAATAGTTACATGTATGAAAGAGATCGATGCGAGCTGGAAGCTGTCCAACTAGAGCTGGAAAAAACTGCTTCCTTCTCCTCCTACTATCAGAGGAGGTGGCTCTGGAGTCACTGGGTTTTATTTCCTGATCTGGGAGAAGGATGAAAGGGAATTGTGTGAGAGGGAGAGGCCGAGGGAGAAGGAGGAGGAGGAGGAGGATGAAAGAGGAAGAAGTAGGCGGGCGAGGAGGGAGAAAAGGAGGCCAAGGACAAGATCAAGGAGAAGGCTGTGGTGTCCACAGTGTAGAAGCTCCCTAAATCCAGTCCTCTGTGAAGCCAATGCTCCCCCTTCTGTCTGGGAATGTGACCCAGGAAATCAGCTCTTTTCGCCCTAGATTACTGCTATTTGAGGGGCTTAGACATCTTCTGTCTTTAGAAATGGAAAGCAGTCAAATATTTCCTTCCCTGAGCTAGCATTCCTTTGGTAGTGCTTCCTCAGTTCCTCTCTCTTGGGCTGTTTAAGGCCTCTTGCCTGAAACCCCAGACAAGGTTTTCCCCACCCATCCAAACTGGAAAAGCTCCCAGAAACTCAAATTCTTTGACCAGAAGTTGGAGAAGGGGCGGGGACTCCATCTGCCTGCTTCCGCCTGGCACTCTGGGTGGCTGGCCACCTTCCTGCAGCTCAGGTACACTCACCTGCTATAGAGAAGCCTTTCATCTGCGGTTTCTCATTCAAAATTAAAAATAAAAAGATTAGAAACTTCCCATGATTCAAATATTTATGATGTTGGGGACAGAAGAATATTTGCAAATTTAGAAATTTAATTCCAGTTTCTTTACAGTTACAATACTTTTATTTTAAATCATGAAGTAGTGAATTCAAATTTATAACCTTCAGGATGGTTTCCCTATGGTGTTCTTCCCAGATATTTTCCACTAGATTTAAGTGTTTATTGGTTTTAATTTGAATTTTTGGCTTTACTTCCTATGGTTTCCCTCTTTCTTGATATTACATTCCTCATCCTGGAAATATTTCTATATTGTACATATGTTTTTAAAATCATTTTATTTTTTAATAGCCTGGGGCTTTTTAAATGTCTTATTTTTTTTTACCTCCAACAATACTTTATTTGTTCCATCACTAAATTCACTGTAGCCTGTTTTCTTTCATGTTTGTAACATCTCCATGCGTCTCATTGAAATAGTTACAGCTGTGCTCTCTTTTCCTCTGTTTTGCACAAGAATTCTTTCTATAATATACACACATTGCATTGTACCCCATAAATATATACAAGAATTATTTGTCAACTAATTTTTTAAATTTTCCAAAAAGAAATCCATTATCTGCTTTTTTCTTTAGAAATGCAGAATTCTTGAATGTGTGGAATTTTTCTCTTTTTAACTTTCTCGTCATTCTTTATGATCTCTTGATCTTTAAGGACAAGCAGCATGGGAGTTCATTTTAAAGTCTCGTTTATTCCTACAGCTAACACAGCTCAGGATCAGAGCAGAAAACTTGGAATAAGAAGAAAGAAAGTACGCTTCCCCTGCACTTAGAAAGTTGTAGCAGATTTTTGAGTTGCACAATCAGAGTGGATTTTCCCAACCAAAGACAGAAGAGGGGTTAAACTAGGTGATGTTTATGAAGGTCAGTTCAACTGTGGCGAAGGCCATGGACGCCGCTTCTCCCTGTGGCCACACAGTCGGCCTTCTCCCTCACCTCCTTTTTCTCACCTCCTCACGCTCGGGATAGTTACATTCCTCTCCCTCCAATGAATTCTTCCTCTGAGTCTGCACCCCTGCCTCAAAAGCATCAGCCTCCTCCACTTCACTGTGAGGAACCCTGGGGTTCCTGCTATGACCCAGAGGCACAGTGGTCCTCACCTCCAGCCCACCTGTGTACTTCTCCCTCAGATTTTGCTTATTCCTATCCTAACAGATTTCTGTATATTTCAATCCAACCTCTGTCCATCTCCATCCATTTCAGTCCTACTCCTGTCCATTCCTTTTGCATTTCAGGGTCTCCCCATGTGATCTCTCCCTTCCAGACCACACTGGCCCTCTTCTGATTTCTATCTACTTGCTTGGTTCACATGCCTGATCCTCACAGCAGACATCTGCCCATCATCCAGATACTCATTCTCTCTCTCCGTGGTCCCAAGTGCTTGTGTGTTGATGGAGTATTACCTGCCCAACAGATACCTTGCCCACACCAGTCTGTTAAATGCTACAGGGATTAGCACTATGCATGTCTAGTTCCCCAATGACTTTGCCTCCACCTTCATAAACCACAGAAAAACCACTCTAACACAATGCTAGTAAAAGATACCTGTAGTCCTTGTCACTTCTGAGTTAGCTTTGTATGAGCATATCATCATGAAGCATGTGTGTGTAACAGAGTTAGGAAAGGAGATACTTGGTACTCATCCCAGCACCAGGAAGGGAAAATCCTTAAACTGCAACTTAGTGTGGCAAGCCGCAGTAGATTGTTGTCACCTGTGGATTGTTGGCCCTCCAAAGTCACTAGTGTGAGACCAACCAATAACATTAAGCCAACCCAGTTTTTTTTTTCTCTCACCACTAAGAAGACCACCCCAGGGATAGTGTCATAGCTTTTATTTCCATGTCTCCCCAAAGGCTCAAGTGCTCATAAGTGGGGCTGTTCAGAGGCAGCTGGATCTAGGCCATTTGTTATACTGGGTGAAGGGTGCTTACAATCAGATTTGTCGCTGATTGAATTAGCATGGTTCTGAGTGTAGCTGAATGAATTTAGTGAGGACAGAAGCCCCATTTGGGCTGTGAGTGGCACCAATGGCTGGTAGCTCGGATAGACTAAACAGGGAAAGCAGGCTCACTGCCTGCTGCTTCCTACCTGTCTGGCCACGGACTGTTTCTCCTCTGCGATGGCCCTCTGCCTTGGAGCTAGCTAATTACAGACTGGAATCTCTACAAACTGTGAGCTAAACATTCCTCCTTTGACTTGCGAGTGCTAGATATTTTGCCCCAACAAGGAGAAGATAAGTAAGATGAATAGGGTTCCTCAGTCATGGGTTTCAGGGTACCCTAATTCTATAATGGGCTTCCTTTGCAAACTATTTAGGGTGGTGATGAGAATAACACGGGGATGCTAACTTTTATGTGTGATTCTTGGAGTTGAAACTTTAGACTCTTTTGGGGGGGGGGTACCAGGGATTGAACTCATGATCTTGAGTTTGCCAAGCAGGCACTTATGCTGCTGAGCTAAACCCCTGGTGAAACTTTATACTCTTTTACCATGATTTTCACTACAGAATTAAGTTTTGGAAAACTGAATAAAAATAAGATGGGCTGGGGATTTAGCTCAGTGGCATACACACCTGCTTGGAAACTGTGAGGTCCTGAGTTTGATCCCCGGTACCACACACACACACACACACACACACACACACACAACTTCAAATAAAAATAAAAGATGCAGAGAAAAGTGCTAGACAGATACAGTTATATAATAGTAGGGGGAAAATGAAATGTCTATCAAGATTATTACCCAGTGATGAATGAGCTACTAATAGAACTGAGATATTTTTAATCACTAGATTAAAGAACCTTCATGTTTCATAGTGTATTCCTAACCATTTCTTCCCTAACTTTCCCATATTCATTCAACAAGTATTTACTGAGTGTCTACCTTGTGTCAAACATTGTCCAAGGCCAGCAAACAAACAAACATTCCTTCTCTCAAAAGAAAAACTGGGTATGAAGGAAAGCAGTCAGTAAATAAATATGTGATATGATTATCTCAAGTCAGAAATTTATACTAATTTTGTAATATTTTTGCAAGTCATTTCTGACCAATTAGAGAGAAAAACAAAAGAATTCTGCCTTTCGCTTATTATGAGCCAGACACTACAGGTGTTTAATTTCCACAAATACACTTGATACCCTCAGCAACCTCTGGTGTGGTCTAGTAAACCGCTTTGAATACAACAGCAAAAATCTCCCTTGTTTGTTCCACTAATGTATGGTCTTAGATATAAAACTTCAAGGATTTGTTCACTGTTACTTTCAAATCATGTCCAAGGTCTCAGAAAGGAGAGAAGAGAGAATAACAGTATTTATACACAGTGAAGTACTATTCTGCCATAAAGAAGAACAGATCTGAGTCATTTGCATGAAGATGGATGCACCTTGAGATGATATTGTTAAATGAAATGAATCAGACACAAACACTTGAGTATGTGGTTTCTCCTATATGAGAAAGCCAAAATATAAGTACAGAGCAAAATAAAAGACAAATAATGGAAAGTAAACAATAGCTCTTTGTAAAAGGGAAGGAGACTAAGAGATGGAGTATGGGGAGGAGAAGGATTGAAAGCAGAAGTAAGATGTGTTACGTGCCTGCACCAGCTCCCCACACTGAATGTAACTATCAGTACGTACTGCAAATGAGAACCAAAAAAAAGAACAGGCTGGAAGAAGCCAGAGACACAAACAGTGAGGCTGTGGGTGTCCAAGTAGAAACCCCTGTATCAGCAGCCGGGCCTGCCCAAGCCTGGGCGATGGGCCGGCCACCCTGTGAAACCTTCTGCTTTGCCCAGAGCCACAGGGCGCTAACGGGTGCTGTCGGGAAGAGGGCGAAGCCACCTACCTCCTCGCTGCTGTGGGACTCGGATGTGTCGGCCCAGCGGCAGTGAGCCCACACCTGCTGCGCCTGCTCGCCCGCCATCTGCACGGTGCTTCTGCAGGCTGCGGTTTGCTGGAAGAGACAAGGCGGTGAGTTATTCTCCAGCCACCGCGGCCCTGGCCAGCGGCCACGCACAATCCTCGGGGCTGGAAAACATGATGCTGAAAGGGAGACTTCACAGAGGTGCTTCAGTTTTCCAAAAAGAAACTTTGTAAGACCTGTGCAGACTCAGATGAAATATTTAAATGTCTGAGGCGCTGATGCATTGCAGGTCTCCGGGAAAAGCACACGTCCCCTCCCTCTTGAACACTGAGCCGGGTGCTTTGAGTGGATTCTCATTGGAGCAACAAAAAAAGATAACGAGCTCACAGGACTCTGCCCTCAGATTTTTCTAGAAGCAGATGCTTTTCACTTTTTGGGTTGCATCTTTGGTAAAACAGGGTCATAATGAAAATTTCACAAGTAACAAACCTGTTGGAAGTGTCCAGAGCTTGAGAAGCCAGGCATGCAAAATGGGGACACCAGGGAAAGAGAATTCAGGATGGACAGCATTTGCCCGGGTCAGAGATGGTGTCTACCCACAGGGGATGACTGCCTGTCCCACCCATCCTGGCCTCAGGGGGTTCAGCAGGGGACGTGCCGTGTGCCCGACTCATGGAGCCTGAACAAACGGGACACATGCCGTGCAGCGGTCACTACAGAACAACATGACTGGTGCCAAGAAGACAGTGCGTGGTGTACATTCGCTTATAACGAAATTGGAAAGTGTCTGTCTAGATTCTCGTTTGGCCTCTTTGTACTCACTTTACCTGATACAAATTCATCCCCTCTTTATTGTAATTATTATTTTAGTTTCCTTTCTTTATTCTTCCATGTCTGCAGTTCCTAATAATCACACTCACCTTGGGGGACTGGTACATATCTGTGTCACATCTTAACCATTGTTACTTCCCCTTGAGCCCCTCCCCTCCTGTCCTGTCCCATCCCAAGGTTCCCTTCATCTTCATGTTACCAGGCAACTGAGGCACCAAGAATTTCCCAGGGCCCCTCGGGACCATGGATTCCATAGCCCAAGGGGTCACTCCTCACCCACTGTCACCACAGAGACCCTGCGAGGACTCAGCCAGGCAGGAGCCCAGCCAGGGAAGCAGCGTTGCCCTTTCTGTGTCAGTTTCTTGGCCCCGATCCCTTTCTGCCACACTCACCACGTAGTAGCCCCTCTGGAAGGCACATGTAGACGGATCTTCTCTGGAATCTTTTAAGCACGTGGTCTCCCGGATGCTGAACTCTAAGCTCATGAGCACGCGGTCCTCATCCAGAACATTCACCTTCACAAAAGCACAGGGTCAGCCTGTGACATTGGTATTTGGGCAGCACATAGAGTTAGACATGCTTCTCTCTGACCAGTCACAAAACATTTACAGAATCGTCCACTGCAAAGCTGAACTTCACTTGGTTCTATGCCCTCCATCTGAAGCGCAGAGAGGAACAGCAGCTTAGTAAAGTCACACAGTTTATTCCACTGACAAAAATGCACTCAAAATGTAGGCCAGCTTCTGAAGATTTCCACTGATGACTGGTCCTCAGGATTCAAGAATTCCTCACCTTAAATTTGCCTACTCTCTAAGTTTTATTGCAAATGCAAAATTAATGCTTGCCACCCAGCCGCCAGCCATGGTGCAGAGAGGAAGATAGTTTGTGTCACACAACGTGCGTTTCCCACCTGAGGTTGAAAGACGCAGCGCTCTGCTTTCCTGTTTTGGCTCTCAAGGGGGAAAAGCTGTGCCTTTTATGGCTTATTTACTGAGAGAGCTTTTGTACTTTGCCGCTTTTTGTGGGTAAATTTGGCCACCAAACCTGGTGCTGAAGAGCCGCCCAGCATTCCGAAGGGTGAGCAACTGAAATGTGCTTTACAGAGAATGCGATGTGTGTGTGTTAGACAAACTTGGTTTAGGTGGGAATTATCATGGCCTTGGTGGTGGGTTCAGTGTTAAAGAAATTACAGAATCCATTAAACTAGGCATAATACACAACTAGGGTTGTGTATTAATGAGTCAACAAAAATGCCACAACTCAGGACTTGGAGGATATTAACTTTGTATTTCCTCTAGGGACTATGATTCAGTGTTTGCAAAATCAAAATATATGGCAACTTTATAGAACGTACTTTCCTCCGGTGACAAGAATCAGCAGCACTGGTTTTTTAGTAATTAGGCAACAAGCACATCTCAGCTGCATAGTGTCACCCAACCCTGGCTCAAGTGTGAGCAGTTTTCATGATGGAATACTTTCCCATGGTTTTCTGTTTCTCTCCACTAAGGATGGATACTAGGGGTATTGACCAAACTTCCTGACAAACCCGAGCCATTCTGATAACCAGAAAGTGTGGTTCTCTGAGGTCTCAAGGTATATTCATTGCCTGAGGCAGCTCAGGAAAGATGCATGCAGCTCAGAGGTCATAGAGGGGGTCCACAGAGTATGCGCCTTAAAACAATCTAAACGAGGTGATTGCAGATGGTTACAGAGCAATGCAGAGGAACAGCGTGGCCATGTCAGTAGGGATGAGGAAGCTACTTAGAAACAGTACAAGGAAAACCCTCCAGAAGAAGAAACCCATTAACTGAGTCTTACAGCATAGGAAGAAGCCATCATCACGTGCAGGAAAGCAGAACCAATGACCTAGAACAAACAGTGCTGACTCACTGGGGTGGAACAGCATGAACAAAGGTTGATCCATTCAGTATGATGTCAGAGAGACAGGTCATGGATGGTCCTGCAGCCCATGGGCAGGTGTTTATACAGAAAAGACCCAACCAGGGCTTTTTCCCACCTATATCTGTCTTTTTAGCCAACACTCACTTGATCACATTTTCTTCCGAACAGAAATCCTTTCTGTGACCAGGCTAAAGGTTCCCAAAGCCTTTCTGTTCTATTTCACTTTTAATTATAAATTTTATCTTCAAATCATTTCTGTTTTCACTCACCTTGCTGTAGGTGGCTTTGATAGATGCCCAGGGGATTATTAAGCATAATTCTGAGCTATGGAGGTGTAATCTTTGGTGCTACATCAGTTTCCTGGCCACCACCAGGTGAGCGCCTTGTTCCACCTTGGTGTTTCTTCCTGGGAGTCAGTTGATCATGGCATGAAACTGTGACCCAAATAAACCTCTCCTCTTTTATGCTGTGGTGTCAGATGTTATACCCCACCAATGGGAAAGCTGACCAACACAGAAATGGCACCAACAGTATGGTCATGGATGTGACTGTATCTGATGATGTATGTCTTTCAGAAGTCTTTGGAACTGGTTTCCAGGAAGTTTGGAGAAGTGGGTAAGAGAAACCCTACAATGCTTTAAGCAGACACTAATGGGAAATTCTGGTGAGATCTCAGAAAACCAGAATGCTGATAGGAATGTGGCTCATGGGGTTTCAGATGGAAACAAGAGTTCTACTGAAAATTGAACTATAGACTGTATTACATCCTATCAGACAACTTATCTACATTTTCCCCATGTTCTAAAACTTTACATGAGACTTAGTGGCAGCAGACTACTTAATAAGGCAGAAGAAATTTCAAAGCACCCCAGTGTTCAGGCTGTAGTATGGGTACTGCTGACCACTTTTAGATTTACAGTATAAATTGGGAACAAAAAGCAGAGTATAAAGCTTTCAAAAACTTAAGTTTTGGCCCAAAAAGAACCACATGTAAAGTTGGGACCCAAAAAAGATGTGGTAGCTTGACAACTTTAGCACCATTAAAAGGAAACCAAGTACTATGTAATAGGAATAAAAAGAAAGATGCAGGTATATCAGAAATCAGCAAGACCCCACCCATCACAGGTTGAAGGGTGCAAAAGTATAAACCTTCCATTTCAGAATACAGCTACTGGCTCACCTGTTGAAGAAGAGCCATCTAGAGAACTGGTCCCCAGAATTCCTTTCACCATGCTCAGCACCCAGGCACTGAGAGGCGGATGTAGTTATCATCCAAAGAGTTCTGGCTACTGCTCAAGCTGGCAGTAGACCTTGATATCAGCCACATAATGCTGTTTTATCAGGTGGGAAGAATGCAAAAGGTTTTGGAATATGGGAGTTTCTGCTCAGGTTTCAGAAAATGCCTGAAAGTCCAAACAGTGGGTCAATGTGAGAGTAATGTATGGAGCTGTAGAAATGGAGCCAAGGTATAGGAGAGATCCTAGGAAGTTGAAAATGTCAATAACATGTAATATCTGCTCAGGAGATAAATTTGCCATGAGCAGGGCCAGCCAAAGAGAGCCTGTGTGGGCAGCAACTGGCAAGGCCATAGGGAGTGGGGATGCCCAAAACCTGTGGAACTTACATCTCATCACAATTTGCCTAGATGCCGGACATGGAGGAGCTACAGGACTTAATGTTTGCCCAGCTGGATTTAGGTTTTCTTCTGGATCCATTCTTTTTTCTTTTCTCTTATTTTTTAGTTTATGAGGGAAACAAACCCCACAAAATTTCAAAGCAAAATGATAGGAAGATAACAATAGTTATTGTGCTGTGTATTGTTATCATCAAAACAGTTATTCAAAGTACAAGATAAGGCACAAGAAATGGTCCAAATGATTTAGCACAAACTTTCCTTTTCAATGAACTAAGAGAAACTAGTAGTATAAATATCTTATCTATCTTGTATTTTTTTCTTTTCCTCTCCTTCCTTTCTCCTTTCCCCCACCCCAGTTCCTCTTACCTTTTGAATAGTGCCTTCCCATTTCACAGGTCTATTGTACATTTTGGACCTTACTATTTGAGCTTCTCACACTAGGGAGACAATACAATGTTTACACATGTAAGTCTGATTTATTTCACTTATGAGTATGGTCTCAAATTGTACCCATTTCCCTATAAAAAATCTCGTTTATCTTCTTTATCACTGAGTAGTACTCCATTGTATAAAAAGACCACATCTTTTTTATCCATTCCTCAGTTGATAGGCATTTGAGTTGTTTCCATAATTTACCAGTTATTAATTGTGCTTTTATAAGCATGGGTGCACATAGATCAGTTCCATTCTTTTCTATCTTCCTATCCCTCTCGTATGAAATGAGGATATTTACCCTTCACCATTATCTAAAGAGAATGTGATACTTGATTTTGATTTTCACAGGAGCTTGCCTTGAGACTTGGACTTTTGGGTAATGCATGAACTGTTGAGGAAGGCAGTACATTTTAAAATAATTTTTAATAGGATAGTTTCATCATGCTGTGCAGAATTGTGGCCATGTCTTTATTTTCAGATTAAATATGTTTGAAGGAATTGTTTTGGGATGTCAAGTTGACAAGAGGCGGAGTGTGACAGTTAAGCTGGATTGTGAAACTGAATGGTTTGAGAGCCATCCAGGGCATTTGTGAGGTGCGTTTTTGAGTATGTTTGGTTCGTTAGTGAAGGCATGACCTTGGATACTGTATTTGATACCCAGCCCTTCCTCTCTTGTGCTATTCACCTGCCCTGCTACCTGTCCATCCTTCCCTTCTCCGCTTGTGTCCAGTGAATGGACAGTCTTTTATCAAGATTGCAGCAAGGAAACTATCACAGCTGAAGCTGTGTCATTTCCTCTTTCTTCAACCTTTTTTAAAATTTGGAATTCAAGATGTATAAACTTGAAATCAAATATGATGTATTTGACTCAAGACTGTTGGTAAAACCCAATAGTTATTCACCCTCATTCTACATTAGAAAGACCAGGATAGTGTTTGAGAATATAAATACCAACCCTGAAGATAGGGATTTAATTAGTCAACCATCCCTCCGTGACATTAAGAACATTTAAAGTTCTTAATGGATGCTAATGTGAACCCCAAGTAAATTCAGGGATAAAGTGGAAGGGTCTGACCTTTTCTCTAAGTCTACTGGACTCTACCCCAAAATATGTATGAATAAATTGCTTATTTCCTGTTGTTGTATTTTTAGAAGTGAAATTATAAAATCAAAGGTTTAAAATGTTTGCTAACTTTAATGCTGAATGTGCTTGAAAATATGCTCAATAAATATTTCTAAATTGATTCTTAAAGATAATTTTACCAAATAGTACTAAGCTTACTTCTGACTTTTTTCCTTTTTGGATATCAGAGTGGTCAAGTATTTTTTCCAGTGTTTCTTAATTCTTTCGTGGATTGTTTGTGCCCTCAGTGCTAGTGACCTGTTCACTCAGCTCTCTCCTAAGGACTTTGCCTCTCAGCAGATCATCATATCTATTAGGGTAGAGAGTCCCAGTGTATTTGGGGCCATCTGGGGGTGGTTGTAGAAGATAAGCTTAACATAATGCAAAATGTAAAGCATTTCTGAGAGGAAAGACCTCTCACCAGGAAAGACCAAAGGAGGGCCGTCCTTTTCACATGGAGGGAACGACTGAAGGACGGAGCATGCTGAATGTCACTTGACAGTTTTGCATAATTAAATAAGACTGGAAAGAGGCAAAAGCTGGCAGGATCCATATGGGAGAGCCACATACTCAAAGCAGAGAGGCCCCTCTTACTTAGGGACCTATAAGAACTACTCCTGGACCAGTAAGGGTGCTCACCTTCAGATGCATGCAGTGGCCTCAGGTTTGCATAAGTCTATTAGAATGGTCCACATGCTGAATGTGCCCTAGGTAGCTATGCTATGTACTATCTCATCTCCCTGGGCCAGATTTCCATGATGCCCCTAATCAGTTTTCTTGATCGCTTCACACGCTCTTCTTCATTTAATTAACCACTAATTTTGTCCTGCAGTGAATAACAGTTTAACTTACAAAGTTAAACTGTATGTGTGAAAACTTGGCAAAAAGACATTGATTCCACAGTACTACAAGAAGATGTCATTAAATATCAATGAAAAGGGGTATTTGAAAGCCAGTGGAAGCAGCAGGATTCTGCTCCTGTCATCTTCAAGGAGCAGTTCAATCAGACCTGGCAGTGTTTCCCTACCACAGCATCCAGGTCTAAGCAGTGCCATTCCGCTCACGTCCCAGGAAGCGCGCCCTATTAAGGCAGGGCCCATAGACCTAAGACCAATCCAAAAATACAACCAACTCAGTCAACTTGCTCGGCATTGAGAAAACAGACACAGAGCCCATTGCTGCAGAAGAAAGTCTAGACAAATACATTCTATTTAGAGAACTGGGCTAGGAAAGCGTGAATCACACTGTACAGGGAATCTGGGGGGATGAATGAGGAGGGACCCGGAACAAAGAGGAGACAGAGCAGGACCAGGGTCACAGAGAGCACACTGGCTGAGAGAGAGGATGGCTGCTGCTCAGACGCCTGGCCCTTTTCTAGTTCCCCGGAAGCCTGCTTCTTCCTTCTGGTTCCCAGGTTGAGCAACTTTACAGAACCTCCCATACCCCCAGCCTTAACGTGAATTCCTGAGGGTGTTTCTCTTCCGGCCTCCTGTGAGCCCCATGAAGGTAGTAACTAGTGAAGTCATTTGGGGAACAGCAGAGAGAGAGGTGCTCCTCATTTCCTCTAAAGTGTGATTCTACATTTCCCCCTTGGCTTTCACAAACTTAATCATTGGAAGCTCAAAAAATTCTTCTCCTCTTGGTTCTCCAGGCTATGGGGAAATAGAATATTAGCAAGCTGACAAAGGAAGGCAGAGTTCTTTGACTCCCAAAGCTGGAATTTATTTCCTCTAAGTAGTCAGAGCAGAGCTGCTGAATTGCAAAGGAGGCCCAGAAATGAGCAGCTCTTAGTAAAACACCACCAGAGGAGCCAGGAGGATTTCAGGTCCAGAGGCAGCAAGAGAAGCCAAGGTCAGAGGGAAGGACACTGTGGAAGAGCCCAGCCTCCAAAGTAGCTTTGCAAGCCTCAGGACAAGAATCATAATTAAATCCTTTCTCTGTCCAAAAGAACACATCCGCGTGGAGGAGCAGGCTTGCTGCTGTCTTTTTAAACTAGAAAAAAATGAAAATGAAGGCTCTCCCCAATGAATGGACTGCAGATAGACAGTGCAAAGTAGAGGAGAGGAAGCTTCGTTACTCACTCACTCTTTTTAATGAGCTCCTGAACGCCCGAAACAGATATGGACTCAGGGACTGGGAGTTCACTTTGGCCACAGAGGCACTGAGGGCTTCATGCAGGGAGGAAGGGTCATAGTCGAACACAGGGAAACCTGGACATAAGCACATGGCCACAGGGACGTGAGACACCTGCCCGGGATTGTGATGAGTCCTCAGAGCAGGTGGCCCCGGTGTCGGGGTCCTTACCTGAGCAAGACCGATAGTGCATCCCAAGGGCAAATATGATCAATAGCTTCACCACGCTCCTCTCCATGGTGGAAAGAATGATTTTAACTCAGAGCCCGGGAGATGGTCTCTCTGTGGCTTTAGGGTGATGATTCTCTCTGAGAACAGCTGAATTAACCAAATCTGCTTGTTTTCTCTGATTCGTGTGGTCTGCAACTTAAACAGAAAGAATTGATCCTGGGGGTCAATATTTACTGCTGACTTTTCCTATGGAAAAGTTCCAGTTTCAGGTCACTTTTGAAGTTTAGACTTTACCCTGGGGACTTTAGCCTACAGCAAAAGACATCAAGAGGCCCGGGACTTCATGTGAGCTGTTTATTTTCTCTTTTTATTTTCCTTCTCTCGGGGGATGATGTGTTCCACAAAACAGCTGCTTTTCAGTTTTTGCCTGTTCCATCCCTCTCATAGGACTCCCAGGGGACTATTTCTGAAAATAATGTATTTTGAAATTTACTTTGGAAATTATGATTTCAAAGAAGAGAATTTTATGGAGGTTTTACACATTCCAAGCAAAGCATAGGTGATGTAAGAAGCTGCAACACAATTCTGCTCACTAATCTTCTTGCTCGTGGACATTTTTGCACATTAGTAGGCTCCCCCTGTAACAGTTTTTATGCAGTGCATGAACCCAAGGAGGGCTGTGAATTATTAAAAAGAGAAATGCTCTGCAGGAAACACCATGCACATTGTGTAAAGGTGATTGTATGAGCATTCATAACATCAACAGAAGCCTGGGCTCAGAAAGCCCAGCCCTGCAATCTCAGCTCTGCTATGTCCTCACTAGTGTGTGTCCTTGGTTGCAGTTCTCAACACCTCTGTGGCTCAATTTCCTCACCTATAAAATGGGCATAAATGGATAGACAGGGTTCTGCAATTAAAGAGAACTCACAAGATGAATGGAGGGAAGAAGAAAGGTTTATTTTAAGGAATTGGCTTTGGCAGCCTGGGAAGACCTATTGTCCAGTACAAAGGCCAACCACTGGCAAAATTCCCTCCTACTGGTCAGCCTTTTTTTTTTTTGCTCAGATCTTCAGCTGGTTGAATGACATATATACATACACACAATGAAGTTATTTGCTTAACTCAAAATCTATTGATTAAAACATTTAGAATAATGTTCCTCAAAATGTCCAGATACCAAATGTGTCTACCCAAGATGACACATCACATGAGGACTGAATAACAAGCCCTCAGGGGATGACTTAGAAAAATGTATTGGTCAGTTTTTCATCCCTGGAACCAAATACCTGACGTACATAACTTGAAGGGAGGATTTAGTTTTGCTCATGGTTTCAGAAGATTCAGTCCATGGCTGGGGGTTCCAAGGCAGACACATCATGACGGAGGTGTATGGTAGAAGAAGGTGCTCATTTCATGGTGGCCAGGAGTCAGAGCAGAGGAACAGACCTGGAGTCTCTCTTGAGTGAATTAGTACTCTAGCCCACTCTGTATATAAAATCAAATAGAAGCACCAGCTAAGGAGGTCTCAATGACAATGAAAATTCGGACAGGGACTGAAGAAAGACTGAGAAATGGGTCTCTGGCAGGAATTCATGGGTCTCTTGGAACCCATGAAATCCAGGGACTCATGAGTCTCTTTCATCTCAGCTTTGATAGCTGCAAGGTCATCCACAGGAGAGAAGGTAACTTGGCCAAGAAAAAGAACAGCAAGGGAAAGCTGGGGGAGGGAACCATCACATTTGCCAGACAATGTGGTGAGGTTCCAGTGCTCCCCAGGGACAGGCTAGCAGGAGGGAAGAGGCCGGGAACAGCCATGGTGACAGACGTAAACTATCGCCACATCCACAAGGCAACCTTTGCCATCAAGAGCCTGCCTGGGTTTTTTGTCTGTTTCCACTGTCACTGCCCCATAGTATATACTTTTGCCAAGCAAAACCATGTTTCTGATGGCTTTTCTCATTGACCGAACCGCAAGGCACCTGTGAATACTCACTGCCGTCACCCAAAGGTGCTTCTACAAGACACTCATCAGCATTTGAGCACAATGGTGTTTGGACTCCCAGGGTAACCTGAGGGTCCACACGCCCGTTTGTTTGCTCAACCACAGCTCCAGGCCAGTGCTTCCCGACTGCTCTGCACCTGCTCCTGGGCCACCCTACCAGATTCCAGTGCTCCAGGGTCCTTGGCCATCCAAGTGTCCTTTGGAGCTGGTTGTCACCAAAGGGTCCATGCATTAAAGGCTTGATGCTCAGCTTTGCACAACTGGAAGATGGTGGGGGAAAAGCGGACTTCATGGGGCATTTTAGGTCACTGGGACATCCCTGAAAAGACACTGAAGGTTCCAGTCTCTTTCCTGTCCTCCTTCCTCTTCATCTGGCCTTGAGGTGAGCAGTGTTCTCCACTACACCCTCCCAGTATGGTGGACTGTGTCACCACAGGCCCAGAGAGCCACCAGGCTGGCCAGTCATAACCCAAAATCTTCAAAAGTGTGAGAGAAATAAACCTTTCTTATTTATAATTGGATTATCTCAGGCATTTTGTTACAGTAATGAAAGCTGACAAACCCTGACTCTCAAGGACTTCCACTGTGGGCTTTTGTAATGGTGTTCTTACTCCGGGGGCCAGCTGCCTCACATTAATCAAGCCACAGCCTACAAGGCACCCCTCAGAGAGACGCCTGGACTCACCTCCTGCTTCTACAACCCTTCCACCAAGCCCTTCCCTCTGACTCTCTGCTTCCTCTCTCCCTGGCAATTATCACACATGCATAGACATCTGCTGATTATTTTGCAGTCACCTTTCTTCTGGAGTAGACCACAAGCTCGGAGAAGTAGAGATGGTGACTCCCTGATCTGTGTCACTCTGAGAGCCCCCAGAGGAGCCCCCAAGGGAGCACTTGTTGCGTGAGTGAGTGAGGGAACCCACTGGGTATCTCAGAATTTGGTGCCAAGTCCTTCTGTCTGAAGTCAGTACCCATTTCTGTCATGTAACAGGTCCTCTGGGCCGTGTGCTAGGGGGCGGTGACCACTGAAATCTGTTATGCTGTTGTTTGTAACCTGGTCTGAACCCAATCCCATTAGAGTCTTCTAGATTTAACTAAGAGAACCATCTGGCTGCAAACTCCACGGCCTCATTAAATGCACGTAGCAATAAAAGTAATTGTAAGAGAGCGGGGAGATGAGAGAGACAACAATGAAATGATGTTTCCGGCACAGGGTCATTGATTCTGTTGCAGCTTGCTGGCGTGGGAATAGATCTCTGTGCTGCCCAGATCCTCTTGGCTACAATTAAATGTTAAGGCCAGGCATGCAGGGCAGGCACTGATGAGTGCTAAAAAGCAGTGATTTAAAAAGGCCTTTGCAGAGTTCTGTCATGTGTAGTAAACCTGAAAGATTAAACATAAGCCACCCATTGTAAGGCGGGCCATTTTGCTACTTTTTCTCCGATCTGCAGAACTGTGAATGGCATTCATTCTGGTAATTTCCTGCTGTTCCAACAAAAATCATTTAGGTATTAAAAATCATGTGGCACAAAGTTCAAAGCACTGTGTACCTTTTTGATGTCGCCCTGGACATTTTATATAAAAATCCGTCACAGAAATTTTAATAACAGGAATTGGGAGCACTGTGAATTAAGATGGGTGAGTGGCGTGGCATGGACCAGAATCATTGCTATCACCTTTATCATTTCTTTTGGGGTTGATTCATTTCATTTTTGTCATCTCTGTACTAATATTATTGGAGAAAAATCAGTAAATTTAAAGCCAAATTTAAATTCAATCTTCATCTGATCTATAAATCAGATTTGGTGGCTGCTTTCCAATTTCTTACCAGAATTAAACCTCTGATTGCCACTGTCAAAATTTACTTTGCCGGCCTAGAGTCAGGCCCTTTCTGTGTTCTGGAAATGTCAGTATCACTGGTTTGTTTGCTCTTACAAGAGAGGTCATGTTTATCTACAGAGCAGAGCAGAAGCTCCAACAGGCAGGAGCTGAAAACACTTATTCTCCAGCCCTGTGGAACCCGTGAGCCAAGCATCTGGAGAGACCTGGCCATCTGTATCTCACAAGCTCCCATGGGAATCTGAGAAGCAGTGATGCAGCACTGGTTCTCAATCAGGGGAATTCTGCCCATCGGGGCATTTGGAAATGTCTATAGACACTTTTGTTTTGTCACAGTTACAAGACAGGATGTGAGCACTTCGTAGCGGGTAGAAGCCCAACATAGACACCTGCTCCAAAGCCTTGCTGATAATGAAATCCAGAATGGCCTAGTTTCTCCAAAGCTCAGGGATATAAATATGTATTACATGCAAACAAAGAAAATCACGGTTCTGTGGTACAGTGAGTCCAGGAATCCTCAGAGGAGGAAAAGGGAAACAGGTTTCTTCACTCAGGGCCTCTTGGCCCCAGACATGCTAATAGACACGATGAATCCTAACCAAGTTCCTAGAAACCTGGAGTTACATACCTTGAGGCCAAGAGTGTGGCTTCCACTCCGGTGAGGTGTCTTTCTGATGACCACTGAGGCACAGTGGTACCATGCCAAAAAGATGATTAAGGCCTACTTTTTTTTTTTTTTTATAAATTTTTTATTTGAGGAGAAAAGAAAAAAAAACAGTGAAAGGGTACAAGTTATACAGATTTACAGAAGAAAAAAATGAACAATAGGAAATCATTAGTTAATGGATTACATATTGCCATCTTAGAAATAATTGTTCAAGTCACAAAATTAAAGCTTGTAGAGTGGACATTCCAACAATGATACTGCAAACAGTTCTGTTCAATGATCCAATAAAACTCTGTGATATCATTTTCTATCTTATACACTTAATTATACATGCAGTTATATAGTTTAGAGCACTTTCTTTTCCTCTCTTTTGTACAATGACTATTACACGTTTTGGGTTTCATTGCTCCCACGGTTCTTCTTGCTTTTTTGGAAGAGAGTAAAACCAAATGAGACATAACAGAACAGAATCGGTCAAGTCAAAAGGGTGGACATAATAGATAATATAAAAACATAATACAAGGTGATCAACAATGGTTACCATAATGCCTCCCGCTATCTCTAATAGAATTGCCTATATCATTAGTTATAATACAATTGAACAAAACAGTAAAGAACAAAACCGACAAAACCAAAACATTGGAGACATTGTAGGTCTTCAAAAGTAGATAGAAGTCAACGAGAATGGGCGTTATAATG